CCCCAATAGTTATGGCGTATCGTCGCGTAGTCTAACTTTGAACCCTTCGTTCTCCACGCTGCTTTACGCTAGAGTGCGCGCTTAGGTATCAAAAAATAGCCCTGAATTTCAGCTATTTTTTGATACCAAAGACGCATTTTTTTGAAAGTACGGGCGCTTTGAAAAAAATGACATACTAAAAAACTTTTGCGAGTACGCGACTATACGAGGGGGTGGGGTACTATTACAGTATTTACGGTAAGTAGCTCTATGATTAGTTGGAGCAGTGTAATCCAATCGGAGCAGATCGAGCTAGGCAGCTAGGAAAAGGAAACGGAAAAGCTAGACTACGCAACACTCCGCACCGTCATTATGGGGGTGGGGTACTATTACAGTATTTACGGTAGCTGCCCGATTTGTTGACTTTTTCTTTGAAAGTTAAATATTAGGTTGTCCAATAAGTAATGCGTGTTTTGACACGATTTTCAAAATATCACAAAATTAACAAAAGAGAACTTTATTAATCGATATATTCTCCACAACAATCAACAACATTTCTCCATCGTCCGAGCAAAGAGTGAAGTCCGTCATAATAGAATGAAGCTGGTTTCGATGAGAAGAAAAACGCACAATAGGGCCTTCTTTCCATGCAATTCTGGCTTTGGCGTCGGTTTCGGATCTTCTCCCGGCGACAACCACTGGTGCTTCCTCGTTGCATTGTCAAAAGAAATCCACTTCTCGTCCGCAGTAACGATGGAATCAATAAAACCAGAGTTCTTTGTTTGGCCAATGAGAAACCCACAAATTGATACACGAGCAGCTTTATTCGCTTCACTCAATTTGTGGGGAAGCCACTTTCCGCATCGATTAAATTTTCCAATCTCATGGAGATGATTGTCGATTGTTGATTTGGAACAACCAAATAATTCGGCCAACTCACGAGTAGTTTGAGTTGGATCAGACTCAATGGTGTTAAGCAAAGCTTCGTTATCAAAAACGACTGGCCTTCCAGCGCGTTCCTCGTCCTCGAACGACTCGTTTCCGTCCGCAAATCGTTTAAACCAGCGCTGGCACTGGCTGATTGAAATTGAATCCTCTCCAAATGCGGCACAGATAGTTCGATGGCAATCCGCTGCAGTTTTACCTCGTTTGAAATCATACAGCATTGATGCGCGGACAACAAACTTTTTGTCTTTCATCTGCAAAACAACATATCTATTATAAAACAAAGGCAAATGAATAAAATAATATATAAAAATAAACACAAGATGCTGATGATTAAAAAGAGCATATATTTGCTCGAAACGATTTCGCAATAGTTTCGAAATAAGTAACACGCATTACTTATTGGACAACCTAATAATTCAATTGTCTGCTTTTTTTTTCCACCTGCAAGCCTGCTAGAGAGAACAAAAACTAATTCAATATTTAACCATTAACAACTAACCATTAACCATTCAATCTTTCACCAATATTTCCAGATTCATCGTTTTCTTTTTTCGTTTAAAAGTGAATCGAGAACGGAAAAGCAGCATTGCTAATATCACAACTAAATTCTGAAAATCGATTGGAAAAAGATCTTCTTTTGTTGAAAATTAAAAACCAATGTTACTAGAAAGCGCTAGTATTTTTGTTTGTCTGATCTGAACACAATAAACTATTAAACTATTGAAATAAAAGCAATTGCCAAGCAGCTTATAATTGTTAAATTTTATTGTCATTGTCATTGTCATTGTCAAATTAGTTTTAGTGTCAAATGCTATTTGAAATAATCACAGAAGCTTTCAAAAAGTAAGTTTATGATATAGAAAAAAGGAAACTAGAAATGAATGAGAAAAGTCGGCGATTGAATCCTTTTTGGGAATACTGATCTAAAGAAGATCTAAAGATAACTGATCTAAAGAAGGATAACTGATCTAAAGAAGAAAAGGATAACAGATCTAAGGATAACAGATCTAAGGATAACTGATTTAAGGATAACTGATCTAAGGATAACTGATCTAAAGAAGAAAAGAGAAGGCTTAAAACCATCTGTATTTCAATACAGATGGAAATATCTATTTCAGCCTGAGCAGAATCTATTTGATTTTAATTCTATGACTGTTTTAGACTTTTAAGATTATCTAAAAGTTTTCCCAGTTTCCCAGCTTTTCAACTTATTGGCTTGCGAATTGGAAATGTTTAATCTACTGGTTTTTTGATGAAAGAAAACGGGTAGAAACTTCAAAAAGCAATACAAAATTTGCATCTTTTTACGCTAACTTGACTGAAAAGCTAACTTGAGTTGATTTGACTGAAAAGCTGAACTGAAAAGCAAGTTTACAATCAATCAATCAATCAATCAATCAAGCCATTCTGTAAGAAATATATATTTACACTTTGATCTTTATAATTTCTTGTGAGACCGTGTCTCGGTGTGGTTCAATGATAGATGTCTTAAAACCCACAATTTATCAAAACTTTCCCTTGTTAGGGCAAATTTCGCTCAAACTGGAGCAACCTGGCACTATCACAATTACTTCAAAACTTCATTTTCATGGAATGATGCAAATTTTGCGGATTTATAAGGGAAAAGAACCGAGAATTTAGAAAAGAGAATTTTAAAAACCTTAGAAAAAGCATTCCTTGAGAAGATCAACTCAACTAGGTGATTCTGATTGAGCGATAGCTTTATAATGTGACCGTTGGCGCATGTGCGAGTAGTAAGCAAGCTTGTTGTTGAGAAAATCAACTCAACTAGGTGATTCTGAAACTAACAAAAAAACTTTGGTACTTTGATGGTTGGGAGGGGCCACTTTTATCCTGGCTTAGTTGAAGTCTAATGTTTTGAGTGATTGTATTGATACCTTTTATCTATCAAAGTAATCAAATCAAAGGGTAATCATATATGCTTGTTCTTTCAGAGCATTTACAACATGTTTCAAGTCTCATATTTCTGCTTTTATGTTGGATTTTCAAGTGTAAGCAGGTTTGAGGTAGCGTTTGGTGGTTAAAGTACACGTACAAAGTACATGAGATCAGGCTTGAATTGCTAAAAACTTGCTAAAATAGTCACAAATTGTAAGAAATATACTTATACTTTGATCTTTATAATTGTGAAACCGTGTCTGTGTGGTTCAATGATAGATGTCTTAAAAACGCACAATTTATCAAAACTTTCCCTTGTTAGGGCAAACTTCGCTCAAACTGGAGCAACCTGGCACTATCACAATTACTTCAACACTTGAATGAAAAAAGGATGAATAGAAAAAGGGAGACAACAACTCACTCAAAAACAAAGCTTAAATAATGGGTTTTTAAGTACACAAGCTACGACGCCACAAGCTAGCAAACGCAAGCTAGCAAACGGACAACTGAATATCGTCTAGTGGCCGATTACGGTAGTTTAGTTCCATCAACTTTGAATTTTAACTTGTGCATTGAATTTTGACTAACTGCAGAGCAGTGACAATTCGCCACAGGTTCTTTCCGCAAATCCCGCCGGGACCATCTAGTAAGTATTGTTTTTCGTCGGTCCAAATCCATTTTGTGAAGTCTTCGCCAATGTTGTCTTGAGCAAACTGGCTTCAAACTGGGCTAGCTCCAGCTCTAGGGCTCCAAACTGGGCTAGCACCAGCTCTCGGGCTCCAAACTGGGCTAGCTCCAGCTCTCGGGCTCCAAACTGGGCTAGCTCCAGCTCTAGGGCTCCAAACTGGGCTAGGTTCAGTTACAGAACTAGACCTAGACTTAATCCTGGGCCAGAGCCAATGTTGTCTTGAGCAAACTTCAAGCGAGCTTCTTTATGACGCTGTGGAAGGCGAGGAACCGTTTTCAGTTACTTAATAGTCAATCAATCAATCAATCAATCAAGCCATTCCAAATTTTGCCCAAACTTTTCCGAGAACCTCAAAAATTGAGACATTCGAGTGTCTAGTGAATCTATTTACGAAAAAGATTGGAAAGCGCACAGAAAAAGGCAAAGGAGACGATTACATGGTGTACAAAGGAGCGATTCGTTCGTTTTCGCTTTTTTACAGATTCCTTGCGTGTTTCCTTGCGCAATCGATTCACAATTCATTTCGTAATCTGATTTGATTTCGAATTAAATCTATTTATCTATTTGAAATCTATTTATCTATTTGAAATCTATTCAAATGAAACAAATGCATCAATCTGCTCGTTTCCCTTTCATTCAATTGCCCATTGATATTCAAATGTTGGTCTTTAATTCGGTCGATATCAAAATTCGCTTCAAGCTTCTGTCAATCAACAAAAAATTTGGCATTTTCATTCTTCAAACTGGTCCAATTGCCGTGAAAAACCAAAGAATCCATTTTCAACTTTTCAAAACGAATAGTTCCGGAAAAATCGCAATTCGTACCACTTTCAACAATCAAATTTCTCTTCTAACCGTCGATTTCGCAAGCTTACGAAGTTTACCAATAAACGCTCAAAATAAACTCAAAAACGACCTCTTCTGCACGGTGTTAAATCAGTTTTCTTTGATGAAAAACATTCGAAAATTGAGAAATTTGTCAATTTTTATTCCTTTTGACCGATGCGATTTGGAGATTTACAAATTCTCGAAAATTCTCGAAGCTTTCGAGAAAGTTTCCGTCATTGAAGAGTTAAAAGTTTCGGTGAAAAATCACTCTCAAATTAAATCGATATTCGAGAATTTTAGCTCAAAAATTGAGCGCTTTGAATTGTTGGATTTTTCGCGAATAAACTCAAAACTTTGGGAATTATTGCTGAAAAATCAGCTATCCATTTGTGGAAGACTTTCAATCAATGAAGCTATTCCCGATTTTCTCAAAACATTTCCAAAAACCTCAAAAATTGGGATTTTCGAATTTCCAGTGAATCGATTTGATGAGAAAAGAGATTTGATGTCAGAAGTCGAATATTTGACGATTTTTCGTCCAAAATTTAGTCAACACCCCTCACCAGCTGTGATTTTGCAAATATTTGGAGAAATTGTGAGAAATGATAGAACGATTAGGCCACAAGATGCGATTCATTTAAATAACTTATCACTTTCAATGGTTTCCCATTTGTCTCTGAACTTCGAAGAAATTCCGGCCGGGAGTTGGGACGGGAGAGATTTATTCCACTTTGCGAAAGAGACAATTCGAAATTTCGGTCAATTGACGTGGGATCGAGATGATTTTTCGTTCTTTTATCAACAAGGTGATCAGAGAGAAAAACTCGTTTACATGATCTCAGCAAACAAGTATGTGAGCAAGTACCAGAAGCTCATCTTTATCGTGAAGTATTTCGATCTTTAAAGACACTCGACCTTGGATCTTTCCATTTTTTTTCTATTGTTCTTTAAACCTCTTTCTAACTGTCTTTTCAAGCATCTAATCATTTTTGGTTTCTTCTAATCTTCCCGTTTTTGTTATTCAATGAAATTACTCGAATTTCTAATCGTTAAGTATTTCGATCTTTAAAGGACACTCGACCTTGGATCTTTTCATTTTTTTCTATTGTTTTTTAAACTTCTTTCTAACTGTCTTTTCAAGCATCTAATCATTTTTGGTTTCTTTTAATCTTCCCGTTTTTGTTATTCAATGAAACTACTAGAACTTTCCTCTTTTATGTGATGCAGATTTTACAGACTTTTCCTTGCGCAATCGGTTCACAATTTATTTCGAAATCTGATTTATAAGCCTGGCTCTATTCAAATGAAACAAATGCATCAATCTGTTCATTTCCCTTTCATTCAATTGCCCGTTGATATTCAAATGTTGGTCTTAAATTCGATGGATACCAGAAATCTTCTAATCTTCGCGTTTTTGTTATTGAAGGAAACTACTCGAACTTTCCTCGTTTATGTGATGCCGGTGATTGTACATTGTATATGTACAATTGTATTGTATTGTGAGTTTCAATTACTATTGATGTCTCTTGCATATTCAAATAAAACGTAAAAATCTCTCAAAATTTGAGTTATTATTTGATGATGATTTTTCGATAAATAAATCTTCCCAAAGACGTGTTAAATCTGAGAATCTCTGGGACTCTCCCCAATAAATTTTTGATGATTTTTAAAGTCCTATACATTAAATGAATGTTGCTAAACGCTTAAATTATAATAAAAGTGCTCAAGAGAGTTTGCAAAAAAAGCAAAAAAGTTTGGTGGCACGCGGATTCGAACCAGAATGGGAAACCAAAAAAAAATGAAAGCTTAACGAAATAGGAGATAAAATAATTAAATAACTAGACTAATCTTCTTTTCGGCTCCAAAGAAAAACTTGTCCAAAGGTTGGACATCAGCCGGGAGGAGTGTTCATCGCCGGGAGGAGTGTTCATCGCTGGGAGGAGTGTTCATCGCTGGGAGGAGTGTTCATCGCTGGGAGGAGTGTTCATCGCCGGGAGGAATGTTCATCGCCGGGAGGAATGAGGAATGTTCATCGCCGGGAGGAATGTTCATCGCCGGGAGGAATGAGGAATGTTCATCGCCGGGAGGAATGTTCATCGCCGGGAGGAATGAGGAATGTTCATCGCCGGGAGGAATGTTCATCGCCGGGAGGAGTGTTCATCGCCTCGATAGACTGTAACTAGTGCTAAAACGCTTGCTACAATTGCTCCCATAAGGTCAATGGCAATATTTTTCACCCATAGGCTGAAGAGTTGAAGAGGGAAATGAGTTGAGCAATCGAGTTAAAAAGGTTTGTTCCCAAACAACAGGTATTTCAGAGGATCCGAGGGACCCTGACCAACAAATTTTTGATGATTTTTAAAGTTCTATACATTAAATGAATGTTGCTAAACGCTTAAATTATCATAAAGTGCTCAAGAAAGTTTGCAAAAAAAGCAAAAAAGTTTAGTGGCACGCGGATTCGAATCAGAATGGAACCCGGCACCGGGACACTATTCACTCCACCATATGGTCTTTCCCATAGCTCTTTATTATAGTCATAATAAAGAATATGCGCAAATGGGTATGCGTTTACTAAAGTCCAAAGTACAAGTCGGAATAATCTATTCAGTGCTCAGCTCTACACTCTCTGGCACACTGGCTCATCCATTTCTCACCGAGATCAGCCGACTTGTGATTTGGTTCAAGAACGCAAATTTGTGCATTGTATATGCGCAAAGTTTTTATTCTGGATTCTGTTCGGTTTCCGGTTTTCTTAGAGTTTATAAAAGAGTAGAGCTGCGGAAAAGCGTTAAGTTGCGTAGTTTTTGCCTTTTAGCCCAAATTTGACGTGTCAGCAAGGTCTGATTTGTCGAAATTCGGAATCTACGCATACGATTCCCTTCTATGAAAACATTTTCGAGGCTCTATGGCCTTTCCTAAGGCCTTTTCCAGCAAAAAAAAAAAGGTGCGCAAAAAAAGGTCGCATTTGTCCCACCCCCAAAATTTCGAAAACTTTACCATATGATATTGAATTGGGAAAATCGTGCAAGTGAAACGTTCGAAATGCATCAAGAGTGAGCCCGTATTCTGTAAATGATTTCACACGTAAGGGAGCCTGATGAAGAAACGATAGGGTGGGATCCGGAAAGAAAGAAAACATTACAGCAGCGACAATTCTGACTAAGAGACTCAGAATTTCTGAGCTTTGAGTCTCTTTGGCGAAATGTTTCAACTTTATAGCTTCTATGCAAGCTTCTAGCTTCCAATTGCATCAAATTCCAAAATGTGAAATTAGCGAAACCAGTTCCTAGACCTAAATTCTGGTTTTTGTATCGGTTTATGAGTGTTTGTTGTTCTTGAAACCTTGAAATTTGAAGTTTGTTGCCCAACCTTGAAAAAGTTCTGATTTAGAAAATTCGAAATTTCCCATTGATTTTCTTTTTCAACCTTATGAAGTGAACTGGGACCTTGGGTCACTACTAGTGACCACTACTATCTTGGGTCACTACTAGTGACCTTTAATGCTAGTGACTCACTAGCATTATTGAAATCATAGCTCCGAAATCTTTTTTTGACTTGACAAGCACTAGCTGAAATTTCCATTAATGCTGTGACCGTAATAGTATTGTCTTTATCAAGCCAAGTCTCTTGTGATTGCTAAAATCTCATTGCTAAAAGATCTAAAGGTCTAAAGATCTAAAAGATCTAAAGGAAAAGCTTTAAAAGTTATTTAAACGGTTAAAGTTATTTCAAGTTAATTAATTTGAATTTTTTAAACTGGAGTAACTGGAGGAAAATTTGCAGAGGCTTTAATAAAACTGTACGAAAGTCGAACAAACACGAGATAACTTTAGAAAGTTAAAGGTGTTGATTCAAAGTGTTCAACATTTGACAAGAAAATTCTTATCAAATGCTTTGAAACGAACTATGAATGCCCCAGTTCCTGACAGCCTTTTGAGGGCATTTTTCTTACGGGGCCGACTGTTTTTCTTATCACTCCATTGATTTTGAAATTTCTTGACTTTAAGCTAATAAAGGCTAACGTTTTGGTGAATCTGAATCACACTCCTTTTTTTCGAAATATGGAATTTGAAAAGCACTGGATTGGGCGCGGAACTTTTAGTGATGTTTTTGAATTGGTTGGCCATCATCCGTGAGTTATTTCAAATCTTATAATCCGGTTTTCAAATTCGAAACCTAGGCCAGCTGTTCTAAAATTGATTCATTGTGCAACAGATGCTCAGCGAAACGTCTATGAAAAGGAGTATGAAACGTTGAAGGAATTAGAGCATCCAAATATTGTTGGATATATTCGAAGGGAACAAATTGACGAATATCGATTTGGAATCATTATGGAATATTGTCAATTGGGAAATCTAAAAAAGTGTAGGTCTAAAGCTATAGCTAGATCTACTGAGTGGCGAGATCTACTGAGTGGCTAGATCTATTGAGTGGCTAGACCTATTGAGTGGCTAGATCTATTGAGTGGATAGATCTACTGAGTGGCTAGATCTACTGAGTGGCTAGATCTACTGAGTGGCTAGATCTATTGAGTGGCTAAATCTAGCTTTGGGGCCGAGGTTAGGAAAGCCTGGCAATAAGAGTAAGCTAAGCTTATTGTTTTTCCTGTACATCCAAATAATAGTAGAGAAGAGTATAATGTTTCTTGAGCTTGCTTTGAAAATCGAATCCGGCATAAAATTGCACTCACAATGCCATGGCACATGTCAGTGTTTCTGTTTTTCCGTACTATACTATGCACTAGTGAATTACACGCATTACAAGCACACAGTACAGTACAGCTGACATGTGGTGAGTTGTTAAATGCCGTGTGACTTCTTCAAATTGCACATTTTAGTGGTGTTTGATCCAACCCTCATCTACACAATGCACACCGTCGCTTTTTGGGGAGAGCAACTATTTGGAGCTCTCGATTACATGTATCGAAAGCATAAAGTCATTCATCGAGACATCAAACCAGAAAAGTTATTCTTATATATATTTTTGGTGAAAATTCAAAGACTGATTGCATGATGAGAATTGAGAATGAGCATTTAGCATCTTCGCCGCAGAGGATTGGACACTGAAAATTGGGGACTTTGGCTCGATAAAAATGATTGAACAAACATGCACTGGGACTTTTGCGGGAACACAGCGCTACAGAAGTCCCCCGCAACTCGATGAAAATAGGGAAAGCTGGGGACAAATGGATACCAGTTTACAAGTAAGTGAGAAAGATGCTTAGAAATGGGGTAAACTTTAGGATTCGCATCGAAATGACGTTTATAGCCTTGGGCTAATTCTCTGGGAAATCATCCAAAGGAGGTGAGTTTGAAAGGGTAAATGAGAGATGAACAAAAAAAACTGTCAGTGTCAACAAAAAAACTTTAGCAGCCATAGATATGCAAATGAATTTCTGATTTTTGTACATGAGTTACGGTGACTTTTTTTAAGCGCAGATTTTAGAAAACGCATTACTTGAAGGGAACACACTCTAATTTTGCCTAGTAGAGCGGTCTTTTGAACGAATAGCCTTTAAAGAAAGTTATCAGCTATGAAGACTGATAACTTTCTTTAAAGACAATTTTTTTGTAAGTTATTATCATAGTTTTGTAGAGGGCTTTAGGCTTTAAAATGATACCAATTTGAGTACAGGGTTGTCCAGGATTACGGAGACTAGGGGTATCTTTGATATTGCATATTTTTTCCTTACAATTTCAGTCCAGGAACTAGATCTGTACATGGACTAGATCAGTACATGGACTAGATCAGTACATGAACTGGATCAGTACATGGACTCGATCTGTACATGGACTAGATCTGTACATGAACTAGATCTGTACATGAACTAGATCTGGACATGGACTAGATCAGTCCAGGAACTAGATTTGTACACAATTCGACACAATTCTGTGTGACATTTAAGTGCGCTAGCTCGAAAAGTCAGCTTTTTAGGACGGTGTTTACTGAATACGACGTGAAAAGTGGTGGTTTCAATCGAGAGCTTTTTTGGTCGACATTGTTCTGAAGCGATTGAAAGGATTGAAAAGACCCGAATGTCAAATTGAAATGGGAAATATCATCGCGAAGTTAGTGATATGTTAACTTTACTCTAATCCTTTCAGATCTAAAGATTATGCGGCTTTTAAACTAAAATTCGTGTAAGATATGAAATTTTTCTGATTCAGATGTACAGATTTCAATCTTTCATCACGACAAAGTGCGCGAGAGATTGAATCAAAGCTGAAAGCGCTTCGAGAGGTTTTCTTTTAAGCTTTAATTGATAGTAAAGTTTTAGGAGAATTCGTTGATTGCCAGTCTAGAATTTACGCCGCTAAACGATTCGAATCAAAAAGCTTTACTCCGGCCAATTGGTTTTAATGGTAAAAAGGAAAGGGTTTTGGTTGATTCAAGTTTTTCAAATTTTGAGCCATATATTTCTTTTGGAGAAATTTCGAAGAAAAATATTGTTTTTCAACGAAAATTGGAGTTTACCAATGAGTTTGATGATTGTTTGAGTGATGTTTTTAAAGAAATTGATCAATCATCGATCGATTTGTTAACAAATATCAATCTGTTAACTGAAAAACCTTTCATTATTCATGAAGCAAAAATGCAGCACGGTTACGAATACCAAGAAAAAGATGTGCTAAAGCGAGAGTTGAAAGAGAAATTGGCTAACAGAAAATTGGCTAACTTTTCTAACAGAAAAGCATTAAGCGATCCGGTCATGTTTCCGCTACTTTTCGAATTATCGATTTTAAACGATATCTATTGTCAAATGCAATGTTTTAGCTGGTTTTTCGATTTTTTAAACCCACAAGGACCCAAAGGACCCAAAGGACATAATCTATCGCCATGGAGTAACTATCAATTGATTGCGAATTACATTCGATGGCTTGAAGAGTTGAAAACGAATCGTTTCACAATCCCAATCAATTTTAAACACTTTTTTCAGAAATCCTCTTATCAGGAATGGTTTCAAATATCAAAAAATGAAAATTCTAAAAATCTATTCGTCAAAAAAACCCTTCAGAAAGTGAAAATGTTTCCAGGAAAATGGTCAAAACAGGAAAAAAAAGAGAATCTGATTTTCGAGCAAGAGTTTCGAGCAAGAGCAAGTCAAAGTTCCGAGGAGCTTATGGATTCGGATGCGATGACATTTTTGAATTTAGAACCTGTTTATTTATTTGAATTCCTTCAGGCGGCTCGCGAGAAAATGCGGAGTTTCTCGACTGTGGCAAAATTTACAAAAATCGAGTCCACAAAGAAGCCGACGATAGAAATGCCGAAAATTTTCGACTTACCAATACCCAATTACGTTTTTCAGTTAACAAATCCACCGCGTTGCACTTGCAAATGCGAAACAAAATGCCCTATTCAACTCATTGAACCATTGAAATTCGTTTATCAATTGAGCAATTTACAATTTGAAACACTCACAGAGGAAATGAAGATCATTTCTTTTAAGTGTAGCTCGCGGGAAGAGCTTGATTATTTGGAGTTGTATTATGCAATTCTTGATATTTTTCATTCATCAGCACTCGGATTGACTGCTGATTCGGTTTATCAAAAAATCCGTACCCAAAACTTTGATGATTATTTTCAATCAAAAACCAATTTCTTTCTCTTTTTAAATTATCAAAGTGGCAATTACATTGAGATGATTTTTCTTGATCATCCAGATAATTATGAGAATCCGGAAAGAATTCCGTGTCTTGATTTCACTTTAACCTATCGCTCTCTAGAGTTTAACAAAGCAAAGCAATTTGTTGATGAGACACCGTTAAATAAAAGAACATTGACATTAATCAATCATCAACTTAAAGCTCAAATTCTAAGTTACAATGGAAAACCGTTAAGTGATTGGTTTGAGTTGGAAAACGAGAGTTCTTGGCCAGAACAGCTACGTGAGCCAAAAGTCGTAACAGAAAAGTACGATCAGAAAGTTCGCCAAGTCAAAAGTCTTGGGCTAATAGAAACCTTTCGTAAGAAATTTTGGAGTTGGTGTTCTGGATTTCAATAAAGCTTTTTGTACTCTTCTATTTGATATTTGACAATAAATTTAATCTAGACGTTTGTCAAAAATGTTCTCCCTTGCATCTTGCTTGGCTTTTTCTTTTCTTTTCCAGCTTTGGTTGGCATCAAAACTCTACAGCTTAAGCCTTCTTCACAACAGACAAATACCAAGTTTTAAATTGAGCAAAATCTGTGCGCTGGGGAAGTCTCGAACGTTTAACACATACCAACAATGAAAAAGTTCCAAGTGCACTTCTGATTTATTTCATTGGCTTACTCTAAACACCTCAGCATTGAACATGTTTCGATAAAATAGTTGTTCTATAATGATAAGCCTCAAAAGCTGACGGCAATCTAGAAGTGCTTGATTTAATGCATTTCGGATCTCTAGGGTTTTTAAAAAAAACTCTAACCACATTCATCCTGGAAGATAATCAGTCTTGAGTGTAATGTTTTTAACCCAGCATCCTATAGTCAAATAGCGTACAGAATTTGCACGAGATAGCTCATTTGACACAAAAACTCTTCCTGGTCAGACAACTTGTAAAGTTGTCCAATGTTCGATGCGGTTGGGAGCGGATCAACAGAGTTCAGTGGCGTTCAGTGGATCGGCAGATTTTGTGTGGCGTTCGGTGGTCGAGCAAAGCCTTTAGTGTAATGCTGGCAAAGCCGCGAACCCCACTGAACTTCAACAAATTGCTTCCACGTCACGAATCTGAATAAAATCAAGCTTTAAAGTTTGCTATATAAAATTTTGGCCATTTTGCACTTGGACAGCTAAATTTTTGATATACTTTTTGGAGAGGTTTTGCCATTTTGATGGAGAACCATTTTGTACTTTTTTGTACTTCCAAATTTGTATCCAAAAATCTTTATCGTTTAGCCTAAAAAACAAACAAATTGCAAAAAAACGATGACACACGATTTTTTTTGAAAGAACTCCCCAATAATAGGTGTAAGGGGCAATGCGATAACAGTAAATCTTTCGAAAACGAGGCGCCAGAAAGCTTGTAAGATAAAAAAAGGCTCTGTTTACCCAAACAATCTTGAACGGCTCCATCAGCAGTCATTTTTGCGATCGATTTTCCTTCCTAAAGGTCTTCCGATTCTTCTGTTCTGCAGTTCTATAAATTCTCTACAAATGAATGATGCAATCGAACGATTAGCTGCTGGCTATCGAAAAGAATGCAATATTCTACAAAGATTGAATCATGAGCACATTGTGAAGTTGATTGACTGGGTAGAAGATGACGAATGTGCGGATGTGGCGAGAAGATTTCGTCTCAACATGGAGAATTGCCAATGGGGCACGCTTGGAGCTGGTTTGTGATGAACTCTCGTTGGCTGTTGTTCTGTTGGCTAAATCTGTTGGCTAAACCATAACTAACAAAAAGCTATCGTAATCTAATTGATGATAGCTTTCCTCCTTAATTTTGCGTTTCGTAAAACGTGTCAACCGGCAAAAGTTATCATTATCTTGGTTTTAGTTTTAAAATCAATCTAATTTTGGTTTGATCCAAAGGATAAAAAAAGCTAATAGGAGCTAAAGGCCAGGCTGCAGTAGCTTTTAAAGTTATCAGATTTTAGAAAATATTCTTTTGAGAGAATTTTGAACAGATCTAGTTTCGTTGTTTGTCTGTCTGTCTGTCTGCCTGTCTGTCTGTCTGTCTGTCTGTCTGTCTGTCTGTCTATCTGCCTGCCTGCGTGTATGTCTGTCTGTCTGTCTGTCTGCCTGTCTGTCTGTCTATCTGCCTGCCTGCCTGTATGTCTGTCTGTCTGTCTGTCTGTCTGTCTGTCTATCTGCCTGCCTGCCTGTATGTCTGTCTGTCTGTCTGTCTGTCTGTCTGTCTATCTGCCTGCCTGCCTGTATGTCTGTCTGTCTGTCTGTCTGTCTGTCTGTCTATCTGCCTGCCTGCCTGTATGTCTGTCTGTCTGTCTGTCTGTCTGTCTGTCTATCTGCCTGCCTGCCTGTATGTCTGCCTGTCTGTCTGTCTGTCTGTCTATCTGCCTGCCTGCCTGTATGTCTGTCTGTCTGTCTGTCTGCCTGTCTGTCTGTCTATCTGCCTGCCTGCCTGTATGTCTGTCTGTCTGTCTGTCTGTCTGTCTGTCTATCTGCCTGCCTGCCTGTATGTCTGTCTGTCTGTCTGTCTGTCTGTCTATCTGCCTGCCTGCCTGTATGTCTGTCTGTCTGTCTGTCTGTCTGTCTATCTGCCTGCCTGCCTGTATGTCTGTCTGTCTGTCTGTCTGCCTGTCTAAAAGATACGCTTCGGAAAAGCTACCGTAATCGTCGATTTGATTGTGCGAAAAACAGCAAAAATTAATTTAAGCTTGGGTGAAGATCACCGAGAGGTTTTGCTAAAAAGCTTCTCAACTTTCCAACTTCCCAACTCGTAACTCGCAGCCAGAGAAAGTACGGCTTTTTTAGAAAGGCTTTCCACCCTTTTAGAAAAGATTTTGAGCAAAAGACGCTGCTTGTTTTTGTCATTATCGTATTGCTTTAGCTATTGATGCATCGACCACAAAATTTCCCACGAAAACGATCGCTTCCTGGGCAGAGCAAATTTATTGGGGACTCGCTCATATTCATGGTCATCACTTTACCCACCTCAAAATCAACATTGAACCAGAAAAGTTTGTTTCCGTATTATTTTAGAACTTTTTTTTTCCTTTTACAAAGTAAAATTCTATTTCCATCACCCTTTTCCACACTTTTCCCTCCATTTGACTTTACACAATCGATAAACTTTCAAAGTCTCTCAAAAACAACTGCCTGCATTCAAGATAAGCAATATTATTGAGCCATTTTACGCCATGCACTTGCGAAACGCAATTTTCCTTTTCAATCAACTCGAGGCTTGTCAGAGAAAAGTTTGAGCGCAAATGAGCAATTTTAGCATATTTGTGACTGAGGAATTCACGTTGAAACTTGGAGGATTTGGTGCTGTGGATACTTCGGAGACACTGCGATACAAGTGTCCTTACAAGAAAAATGAAAATGACCGTTATGAAATGCAAATGAAATATGATATTCGAGTAAGTGAGCTGATAAAAGTAAAGATTTGAGCTGTGCTCTTTGGGTGCTCTTATTTGAGCCGTACTGTGCCTACTGTTCCTAGCCGTACTGTGCCTAGATTTGGGCTCCATGTCGCAAAACTAAATTCGATGGGTGAGTTAAAAAGTAGGTAAGAGACAGGAGGCTGAATGAATTCTAGTCTGGTTATTCTACAGGCTAGTCTAGTCTAGTTATTCTACAGGCAAGGCCTTACCTTGGCTAGCTTGACCTGGATTGGTTTTGCTGCAAGCGTAATCAGCCAGAAGCCAGACTTTCGGACCAGTTTCTGCCCTAAGCTGGCTTACAAACCGGCTCGATTGAAACACTAAAACTATCGTCAAATAAACTTCAAACTATAGGCCACGCAGAATGATGCCGTTTACAGTGCGACATTGGTCGTTTGGGAAATTATGGAGGGAAGGTAGTAAGCAGAAAATTGAATTAAACAGAAAATTAAACGTTACATATCTAGAGTCGTATTCGGCGAGTACGGAAAGCGGGGCAACTTTCGGCATAACGACTTCTTGAATGAGATTTCTGATAGAAAACTCAGACAATTGGAACCACCATCATGCGAAAATGATAATTTGAAAGAAATAATGAGAAGGTTTTCTTAAAACAAAATTGAAAATATCGGTTTTTAGAGGTTTGAGTTTTGATCATTCATTGCGACCAAATGCTCTCGAAGCGTACTCCTTTTTTAACCAGGTACACTTTTCTAAAAAGGAACCAAATTTAGAGAGAACCAAAGACACTGAGTTAAGGAGCCAAATATAGAGACAAAAAGAACCAAATTTAGAGAGATAAGGAACCAAAGACACTGAGTTAAGGAACCAACTATAGAGACAAAAGGAAGCAAATTCATCTTTTAGCATATTTTTCTTTCCAATTACCGTAACCCATTTCAAAGTTACACTTTAAGATCTGATCAAATCAGCTAGAGTTTTTTTGTTCGGTCAATTCTTATTATCCACCGTATTCAATAGATACGGTAGATAAGAAAAAACAAAATTGCAAATGTTAAAATGTTCAGCTTATTACTGAAAGAAAACTTTTGAAATCATAATAAAGTGCGTTTCAAGTCTTGCGTAGAGTGCTTTCCTCGCGAGTAAGTCCAGTAAAATCTGCATGAGTAATTTTTTTTACTCTATTAATCGACGTTTTTCATCGAGCAACTACGAGCAATCCTCTTTACACATCGAGTAAATTGAATATCTTTACATGTGAAGGGAATTTGCCATCAAATCAGTTAAACGGCTGAATATCTTTAAAAAGAGTCGTATATGGGAGTGGGACAAATGCGACCTTTCTTTTGCGCACCCGGACATTTGCGCACCTTTTTCTCCGCACCTTGCCCATTAGCGCACCTTTTTTCGCGTTTTAAAAAAGCTCTAAAAAGCTAATATTAACCAATTTCTATTCCAAATCTTGTTTTTCTAGGGAATTTTAGGGCGTAAAATCGAAATTTTGACATAACAGAGCGTGTGGAACCAATTTGACGGCTAGATCAAATTACAGAAAATTGTCGATTTTTCTCTTTGTATAACTCCGTCCGTTTGTTTAAATGTTTAAATTAAATGTGCGTTTTAAAAAAGGTATTACTCGTGAGGAACACACTCTAGTCTTGCGTCTTCAGTAATTCCCTAAAACTGCTGCTTAAGAGAACGAGAAGAGCTGTTAGCAAAAACGTTTTCTTTGCATCAGAAAGAGCATGTTTTAAAATCCTAAAAAACCCTAAAAACACCTAAAAAGGATTACAGTACGCCGTCAAAAATTTTGTTTCAAACATTTAAGAATTCAAGACCGTTTCAAGTCTTGAATTCTTAAATAACGTGATCCGCAAGACTTGAAACGCACTATACATCATAACTTTACGGCTTTCCTTTCCTTTCTTTTTATTGTAAATTATCTTTCAGAGAAATGCTGAGCCTGAGCAATCAACTTTTCCATCACAAAAACTCTCACACAATTGGAGCTATTCACAATTTGATGGCGGCGAACAATCGAATTCAGTCAACTCTGATGGCTTTACGACAATGGAATTCCCTTTATCCGAAATTTTTTCTGTTCTCGTTGAAAATCTTGACAAACGAAAAGACAAATTCATTGGAACTTTTGACAAAATATATTATGAGAGCTTCGCGGACAAATTCAAGTGTTTAACAACATTGGAACAAAACAACATTGGGACATGTTTGATCGAAAGCTTTTTTGGCTATATTGGGCAAATCAATCTTGGCAAATATAGTTATTCGGAGAAAGCGGAAATCGAGAAAATTTTGGCGGAGAAGCAGGGTCGAAACTTGGATTTTAAAGAGGCTTTCGAAATGTTGACGTTGAGCGATTTCTACACCTTTATGGAAAGTTTCGATAAATTTTTCAACTTGCTAGAAGATATCGAGAAATATTCACTATCACCGTGGAGCTACTACCAAAGGATTAAGCATCTCATATCGGATTTGGAAATCCTTTCACAAACTCGCCACAATTTCTCCATTCATTTTCATTGTTTTGTGCAAGTTCAACGAGGCTGTGCCTTATTTTTAATCGACGAAAAGACGAGTCTCTTCGTTGACGAATCTCTCAAAGAGCTCAAGAAGTTTGATGGAAAGATGAAAGGAGAAAACGGACAAAGAGTTCTCATCGGGAAAACCCACGAAAGGTCCGATAGTCAGAGGTTCATTGAAAATGAATTGGTGGCACTCAACTTGGCGCAATTGCTCAAAGCGGTAAACAAGCTTCTACAATGTGCGGTGAGATCGGCGACGATCGCCTTGCAAAGTCACAAGAAGATCACTAGTTGGCCAATTGTCGATCATCTGCTTCCAAATCAACTCATCGCTCAAATCCCAATTCCCCATTGTGTTTTTAACTCTCGTCAGCCATCCCGACCAGTTTGTCCTCATTTCCCGAAGCATTCTTTCAGATCTTATGAGCCATTAGCTCATTTAGCCACCTCAACCAAATTTTATTCATATCCTGACCAAATGCAGATTGAACTGTTTGAATGCACTTCTCCGCTCTACGAGGAATATCTAGATTTGCACTTTTCACTCCGTCACCATTTACAAGAACTCTCAAACAACGCAGAGAATCAACTTTTGGATGAACTCGAATCAATGCCAACAATTTCCGAAGCAAAAACAAAATACTTTGCTTTTCTAAACATCGAGTATAGTCGACCCTATAAAGAAGGAATTCTTCACATTTTGCTTGATGATCCGAGAGTCTATGCGGATGATGAACACTTTTCTCCCGAGGAAAAAACGCTGTGTCTCGGACATGATCGCAAGATTCATTCGCTTAACAATGAGATCATTAAAGAGTATTTTGATGGATGTGACTCAAAGGACAGAACGTATACACTGATCAATGAATGTCTTCAAGCACAAGTCGTTGATTTCAAAGGAGACAAGAAAACGAAATGGTTACAGCTACGAGATCCTTCAACTTGGGGACTTTTGGAAGACGGTATCGAATCGAGGAATCGGCGAAATAAAGGTAAATATTTTTTTTGCTACACGTATCGTATTTTCCCTAATAGTAGTGCAATCATGAAGGGGTTTGACTACGGTAACGATTTCTCACCCTATAACAACCAGCAAAAGACCATTAAGAGCCCAATTCAGCTAGGCAATGATGCTAACTGAAAGCTAAATAACGGTTTTGTTTTGGGGTACTTAACGAGTTTTTTTTCTTTTAACACTCTAACACACGTAATAATGAGTTTCGAAGAAAAAAAAGTTTCTAGTTGACGGTTTATTAGTTATGCTTGAAAGGTATTTAGGAAAATAGGTTTTTGATTTCAATTTTTTATATCTACAGATTAGCAAGTTGTTTAAAAAGTATTAAATGATACTATTGGGTTGATGCATAATTATCCGGACTTCTTTTTGCGTGCTTGTATCTTTTTTGTTTTGAAAGCTTTTTGTCTATTTCTTTTTTTAAAATATTCGTTATTCTTTAGTGAACAAAATGCGTGTCGACAATCATATCCATCTTCGCCATATCATGCTCTACCACTTCGAAAAGGGATGGTCTGCCGCAGAGTCGTTTCGCGATCTCAAAGAACTGGAGAAGCCCCAACGGACTACCACGTCAATCGATCGCTCAAAAATTGGCAAACAAATAAGATCTACAACGATTTGGATGACTTGATAGACGATGTTAAAGCGTGGATTGCCTCCAAAGATCGTTTATTCTTCGCTCGTGGAATCGATCGTCTTCCAAGCAAATGGCAATCAGTTATTGATGTAGGCGGTGAATATGCTCCAGAATAATCAATTAAACATATTTTTCTAACTATTTATGTTATTTTTTGTTAAATAAAATCATTTATAAAAGAAGTCCGGATAATTATGCATCAACCCAATATCAGCCAATTCGAATCAAAATTTCCGCAATTTTCAATGATTTCTAAAAGGTAGGACGATGGGGAAAGTATTAATCAAAAACTTGGGTTTTTTTCCTTAGCTTTCATCAATGAAAGGTTAATAATTCTATATACTCGTAAGGAACTTGGCCTCAGCTAATCGCTTCTTGAAAAATCTAATGAAAAACAAAAGTATAGTTAAAAAATAGTACTTCGAAGTTCAGAGGTGCCAATCTCTCGGCAGAATCGTTCTTCGTCAGGACATTTTTTGAAGATTCCCGCTTCGTATTTAATCATTTTTTTGCTTTTTATTAAGAAATAGAATTATCTGGAACATTTCACATCAGAAGATTTTGAATAATTTCAAAATTTTGAGAGCCAATAGTTGAGTTCCCTGAAAGCTGAGCAGAGCAGCGATCTCTATGGTAACACTCCAAATCATTTCTGATTTGCTGTCTTCCAAAGTTAATGCATTTATTTTGTGATATTTGTCTAAATTTACACTCAACATTAGAACAAAAGCTTTCGCATATCATTTTTACCGACTTATCCCACTCTTTTCAGCATAGTCGACTCAGTATTCGGTAGAGGTGACCCTACAATCACGATTGGACCACAAAACGGACCTGCGCCAGCAAGTCTCGTGAATCCCGCCCAAGCAGCTCCAGTTGCTGTTGTCTATGGAAAATGATTGCCCTGTATTTAGATGTAAATTTTTTTCTGTAGCCTTATGCATTTGAATAAATGTTGTGGTTTTGCACTCATAATCTTTTGCAATGACTTTATTTTCTGTAAGCTGACCCAAGTGGATAGTATGATAGTGGAACGAGATTCGATCCATACAAGTTGCCATTATCAGTTTATCCTATTTGATCTTGAGGTCCAGCTGTTCAAATTTAGCTTCTAGAAAAGATTTCTGGCTAGCTTGCTTTATGGCTTTGAAACAGACTTGCAACTTTATTTAAAAATGGGATGAAAATTGAAACACAGATAGAAAAAGAGTTGTTTAAGTTGAACTAAAAAAAGCACTCTTTCAAAACTAATCCGAACAAAATGGGAGTCTTTTTGTAACCAAATAAAAGACCAAGTTGAAAAGAGCTACAATAATACAGAGAACAGTGATACTGGCCAGTACAACAATGTAAGGAGTGGCGAGTAACTCATCGATCAAGCTAGGTCCAGCTGTTGTCGTCGTTGCCATTGTCGTTGTCGTGGTTGTCGTCTTTTCCTTTTTCGTGGTTTTCGTTGTAGCTGGTTTTGTCTTGGGTGTTGCAGTGGTTGTCTTTCCACTTTTTGTCGTTTTAATCGATTCAGTGCTAGCCTCAGTTGCTCCCTTTGTCGCTTTAGCGGTTTTTTCACTAATTAATTCGGTGACTTGGCTGACATCAGTTGTAGATTTGCTTGTAGTTTGTTGATCGGTGACCGTACTTGTTTTGCCAGTATCAGTAGCTGGACTGGTTACAGTATTTGATCCGGTAGCAGTACTTGGCTGAACAGTGATCGTAGTTGATTTACCGGTGATTGACTGAGTTACGGTAGTTTGGCTAATAATTGTGGGTTTAGCAGTGGCAGTACTTTGAGCCTCAGTCACTTCTCCTTTCGTCGTTTTGAATTTTTCGGTCGTTCCAGTACTAGTTACGGTAGTTTGACTGATATCAGTTGTAGATTTAATATCAGTACTTGTTTGATCAGTATTAGTACCTGGTTGCTTAGTAACAGTACTTGATTGATCAGTATTAGTACTTGGTTGCTTAGTAATAGTACTTGTTTGATCAGTAGATCCAGCAGTAACTTCAGTTGAGGCAACTGAACTCGAATCAACACCACCAATCGTCGAGGTGATCACCGGTTGAGCAGTTGATCGAATTGGAGGTACGTATGGCTTGAACGGCTCAAGCTCCGGCTGATATTTGGCAATTGAGTCAATCGCTGTCGTCAAATTGATATTGCAATCATTCTCCGCACAGAAATAGTAGACTTTGTCATCGAATTGATAAACGCCAACCTGAATCCGAAATTCTTAGCTGAATCTTTTACTCAAGCTAAGTCAGGGTGACGTAGAGTACTTCAAAAGTTCAATCGAATTCAATTCCCAACCTCAACCCTTCCCATCGCTTTCGAATCGTCTTGAGTGAAGCAACCAAAAATCGTCGAATTATCCGATTTCTATAAATTTCATGTTAAATTTTTAGAAGTCTTGAATACAGTTATTTGAATGAAGCAATATTGTCCTTGACAAGTTTCCCCGTCCGTGCTTCCACTCATAAAACATATGAGATTTGTGGATGAGGGTAGAATATAGCCATTCTCATTGCAAACATCCTGCAAATTCGATGATGATTTTAAGGCTTTTAACTTGTTTGTTTGCAAGTTAAGTTTGCAATCATTTTTTTGTTTGTTTAAACAATTGTTCCAGTATTTTAAACGCACCCAATTGCATAGTTGATAAGCCGAAGACTCTTGCGAATTCGTTTGGAAACTGTAGTAGCCGCCAAAGTAGAATCTAGAAAGTGATTTTTGATTGATCATTGATCAATTGATCTCCAGTTTGTTGTACAGTAACAGTTTCGTTAGCATTTTTTCCCTATTCTAAGAAAATCTTCTTACGGTGTTGGTGTTGATGTTAGATAAGCGGGTGGATGAATCCCAAAAAGCCCATCAGCGAACGAGGTTTCATCAGAAAGAACAACCGAATAAGCGGACGTGGTTTTGTTCTTAAAATTTATATGTCGTAGCCGATTATGAATGAAATTTTTTGGAAAATCTTTCTAATAGAGCAACCCTTTAATGTATGAGGACAATATTATATCATCTTGTAGCGAATTGAATTCTGCGTCGATTGGTACCAAATTTGTGAGTTTAGTTTAAAAATTGCCGGCGCTACAACGTTTCATTCAAAATCGGCGGGACCCCCGTAGCCGATTATGAATTTCAGCCGATTATGAATGCTTGGGTCAACCATCAAATCTTTGGTAGTTTAGTTAATGCATTAATTCGTTCAGCGGGTAAACCAAATGCATTTTCAGGTCAATAAACTCGTCGAAAACAAGGCTAATTTGTCTAGATGTTGTAGCCGTTTATGAGTTTCAGTCGAATATGAAATGAGTGGATCTAGGCGCGTCCAACCATCAACTATTTGGTATCATTCAACGCAGAATCATTGATAATTATGTTTGTATGTGGAAAATATCATATCATCCTGTAGCGAATTCAATTCTGCGTCGATTGGTACCAAATTTGTGAGTTTAGGTTAAAAATTGCCGGCGCTACAACGTTTCATTCAAAATCGGCGGGACCCCCGTAGCCGATTATGAATGAGTGGGTCTAAAGGCGTCCAACCATCAAGTATTTAGTATCATTCAACGCAAAATCATTGATAATTATGTTAAATTTTTAAAATTAGCAAGATCTGATAAAAAGAAAAAAAAATTAGAGCAAAAAAAACTGTTTGTTCAAGAGAAAACTTTGAAGGCCCATAATTTTTTTTCTTTTTATCAAATCTTGCTAATTTTAAAAATTTAGCATAATTATCAATGATTCTGCGTTGAATGATACCAAATACTTGATGGTTGGACGCCTTTAGACCCACTCATTCATAATCGGCTACGACATATAGACAAAATTCACATTTAAGCCTCACCAAAACTCCATTTGATGAACAAAATTGACCATTTATACTGGAAATTGAGTTCAAATTGTTCGAATTGCAAGTGATCGATGAATAAATGGTGATTGGGAAAGAGCGATTTCCCCATGCAACATTCGTGACTGATTTGGAAGCGCTTGCATCGAGTAGATAGAGATTGCAGAAATCACTTCTGTAAACGATAGATTCGCAGAATTATGCACAAAAAAAAACCTGCACAAACAAACGAAGAACTCGACAACTTGTGCAAAGTAACATCCCTCATTGAGGTATTTCATTCCACTGATACATCCTCGAGACGCGCCAGAGCCCACTTGATAGCAGAGATCACCCTCGCAGACTGAGTTGCTAAAGTTTTAGGAGTGTAATTTATATGCACTTTTTTAAAGAGATAAAGATAGGGATGCAGAGGGTCAGTATGAATTTCGAGCCGGGCTTTGTAAGTCTAGTCAGTTAGGTAGAACCAGACCAGAATCTAGTTCTAGAAGTAAGCAGGTTTAGGAGCTTGAACCGAACTTTCAGTAAAGTTCTGCCAAACTGGAACGGTAATTTATCGGTAATTGGTAATTGCCTTTGGAGCTATCCTGACTTCTAGTAATCCTAGTGAAGTAGTGAAGTAGTAGTGAAGTGAAGTAGTGAAGTAATCCTAGTGAAGTAATCCTAGTGAAGTAATGCTAGTGAAGTAATCCTAGTGAAGTAATGCTAGTGAAGTAATCCTAGTGAAGTAATGCTAGTGAATAAAGCCAAGGATGGCCCTCAAAACAGGGACAATTTTTGGAGAATTCACAAGAGGAAAATGATTGATTAGAAAAATTTGTTACTTTTTTTAAAAATATATTTGGTATTGAAAATCTTTCTGTTTTCTGGATCCCGAAAAGTCAATATGAAACGATTGAATTCTTAAGTTTTACATGGTAGCCGTCGCTTCTGAACATTGAATGGCGTGTCCACGATGAATCAAAGAGATTACCAGAAGTAATCGAAACATTTTCAAACAATCAACATGATCGATCTCGTGATAACGTCAAAAAGAAAACTTGAGAAAGTTCGCGCAAAAACCATCTGCCAGCCAAATACCGAGTATTCCGCTCCCGGCTCTTCATTTTCACCTGGAAATCCACCTGTTAGTCCGTTTTTTTTGTTTGATTCACTGATTACTTCTTATCCATGTCTTACAATAAATGGATAAGTTTAATTGTCTAAGGGATATACAAATGCCTAGCTAAACATAACACACACGAAAAAGTCCATATTCGATTGTCATTTGGACGACGACCAATGGGCAGTAGACTCGGAGTTTATCACTTTCAAAAAATAAAATAGAAATAAAAAAGGCAGAGCTCTGAAGCCATAGCTTCAGAAGCTTCTGAAGCCATAGCAGGAAAGTGTTTTAGCTTTATTGAAATGCTTCTAGACCTAAGAAAACAGCTATAACTTGAAGAATCCTTGAATTTTTGGGCGGTGGCTAGATAAAGACTGAATTATTTTCTATGTCCTTTTCATCAAATTCATTAGGTGTTTCTTATGTGATAGGCCAGCAATATTCCGACCGAATCAAGTCAGATTCAAGGCAGATCGATGTCTGACTGATCGATGTCTGTCTGACTTCTAGGCACAGTTGCAACTTATAATTTCTTTATCTAAACTTTGAAAATGCTAAGTTCAAGATGGATATAAATGTTTAATAAAATTAGCATCAAATCCAGCAACAGATAGCCAGAAAGGTGAAAAGATTATTTTAGAACCTTTCTTTTAAGTTCTATCAAAAATAAACAAAAATAATAGTGACTTATTGAGGTCTGAAATCCTCGAGTGAGCTGAGAGATTGAGTTATCGCCTAGGTGAAAGCTAATTTGTGCTCGGATTTGTTGACTGGTGATATCGGAACGATTGGCGAGATAAGAAAGTGATGGATATGAATTGGACATTCAATCATTGATCCATTGAGATCTACAATGAAATGAAACCAAAATCGTAGATTGTTCCACTTAGAAAATCAATTGCTGAGATCAATGATTGAATGTCCAATTCATATCCATCACTTTCTTATCTCGCCAATCGTTGCGATATCACCAGTCAACAAATCTTTTTGGCTTTAATTTCCCGATCTATTACTTATTTCTATTCATGATCATGGTATTGATTAGATATGGCTAACAATATTTTGGGGCTGCTTCCATTCGGACAGTCATATCGACACACTGAAAGTTGCTAGCAATCTGAAACTTTTTTATCAGAAAGCCAATATTATTAGCTTCATTTTGATACCAAAAATTCAGTAAAATGCTTTAAAATTGTACTGAAAAAATCAAATTAAACCTTAGAATTCTTACCCTTGACGAGGCCTCGTTAAGGATGGTCTCGTTAAGTATCGATAACCTTTTTAGAGTACTTTTTAGAGTACTTTTTTGAAGGTTTTTGTTGAATGTTTGATATCAAAATGAGGCTGATAAACTCGGCTTTCTGATAGAAAAATTTTCAGATTGCTAGCAACTTTCAATTTGCTGATATGACTGATCAAACTTGAAGCCTCGTTAAGCCCCGTTTAAAAGGCAAGTATTGATGTTGATCACAATCCCAGCGGTAAAAGTTTTCCCTTCAAACACAAAACACATTATGAGATTTGAGGATATTGCCTTCATTGACGCGTGCAACAAAATAATTTCCACCACGGCGGCGCATATGAGTAAGAATACGAAGAAAATGCAGCACAAGTTCTTTGAGCATAAAGGTAAATCTAAAGTTGGAAATGCGGCTGTTTCAAAAAGCCAAAAGGCAAGGAGAAAGCTAGTGGTTTTTAATTCGCGTTGGGTTGGAATTTCAACATTACTGGGCGCACATCCGCGCGAAAATGCGATCGCCGTTCAATTTGCTCAAGGTAAGTGCTATTGGATGCGAAAAAATGTCCTGAATTCAAATTTGAAAGAATTTTTTGCGCCATTATGCGTCGGGGCGGTGCATAATGAGTAAGAATACGAAGAAAATGCAGCACAAGTTCTTTGTGCATAAAGATGAATCTAAAGTTGGAAATGCGGCTATTTCAAAAAGCCAAAAGGTAAGGGGAAAGCTAGTGGCTTTTAATTCGTGTTGGGTTTCAACATTACTGCTGAATTTAGCCTAAAACATTGGTTTTTGCTTGGATTGACTTAAAAAATCGGCTCTAGCGCTAAAAAATCTTTTATGGGTGGAGCTGGGAAAACAAAAAAATGCCCGGTATCGGGATTCGAACCGACTTTTGACTTACCGGGTAAACTTAAATCACTTTTTGACTGCTAGCTTGAATTCTCATTCGGGCAATGGCAACAACTTTTTTTGCGCAGCTGGGTCGTTTGCGCAACTCGCCATAACTTTTTTCTAAGCCGGCCAATCTTTATGATTTTGGTTTCATTTTGTTGCACTTATTGAGATCTACAAAAGGAAACCGAAATCGTAGTTTGTCCCACTTAGAAAAAAGTTATGGCGAGTTGCGCAAACGACCCAGCTGCGCAAAGCAAAAAGCTCAAGTTTGCAGTTTTACAGCAAAAGGCAGCAAGTCAAGGTGAGATTTTTGAATGAGAGCTAGTGTTTCTAATCGTTTTTGACACTGATTTCGAAACTGAAATTAACTTTTTCCGAAGGACTTGCATCACAAGATACCGTATTTTCTCAACAACATTGCACTCTCCAATATTACTAATATTCTCTCTCACTCTACGGTAGCTTAAGCGTTGTTTAAACTACCAGTTAAAACGAGATAGCGGTGATTTCCGAGGGAAATCGCATTGTTGAGCTTTTTGCTTTGCGCAATACAAATGCATTTTTCAGTTGTTCATCTTGGTTTCTTGTTTATCCGATTCATGGCTATATTATAGGGGAGGCTAGTTTCCGCAACTTTTTTTGCGCAACAGGGTTATTTGCGCAACTGGGTCGTTTGCGCAACTCGCCATAACTTTTCAACCTTTAACAATTTTGTCTTTGGTGTTCTTGGTTTTCATGGAACTTTGTCATCGCATTAACGAGAAAGTATCGAAGATTTATTTCGAATAATTGAAAACCTTGGAAAGATACTGGTTTTGAAGAGATTTAGCTTTATCAAAATAAGCATAACATGTTGCTTATGCTAACATGTTACTGCCATCGCATATCGGGTGAAAAGATTCAAAGGAAATTTATGAAAAGATTTTTACTCTTTTCATAAATTTCTCCTGAATCCTTACCAACATTCTGGCTGAAGATGTGGCTATTTTTTTTGACTATTATTGGAGGCTATTACTATTTTATTGGAGATAACTTCAGGAAAAGAATTGATTCAATTCTTTTCCTGAAGTTATCTCCAATATCTCCAATATAATGAGCACAATAGCTACAGTAAAACGTTTGAATGTCAAATCAAATGTGACTCAGACTCGAGATTCACGTAATCTTCACGTAATCAAGACACAAAAGTGGAAAAGAAAGTTTTTTGCAAAAAAAAAACTACTAAGACTTCGATGTCTCGAGAGAAATCGAGTACTAATTGATCATCAATCACGTTTTTTCTTTGAATAGAATTTCAATAGGTTCAATTTCAATAAAGTATTGCATTTCTACTTAAAATTTGAGCAACCTAGATTCAAACTACATCAAAATGTTGTCAGAAACAATGCTTCAGCTGTTAAAAGGCTTCATCGACGTAGCGACTCTCAGCCTGTTCATTCAGACTCTAGGGTGTACAGGGTGCGTCATAATTATTGCAACAAGATACTCAAGGCATTGCACACCAAGAAGTTTCACTGGAAGAAGATTTTTAAACAGAAATAGCTTTATTTAACAGTAACAAATAAGGAAACAAGAGATCATTCGATATGACCGCCTTTTGCCTTGATAACAGCCCTTAATCGGTTCGGATATGCCTCCACTGTGGTCCGAGTGTCATCTTGAGGAGTCGCCTTCCATCCTTTGGTCAAAGAGCTCAAAGAGCAGACTTCTTCAAGGTCAAAGAGCAGACATTAGCCTCTAAGATTGTCCAAATGGAAAAGTCCATCACATTGAGATCCGGTGAGTTTGGAGGCCATTCATCCTTGGTGATCACTGAGGGAAAGTTGGCCACACACCAGTCCCGAACCGTCTTCTTCGTGTGAGCGGGAGGCAATTAGGCAAGAATAAAGAAGATAGAACGCAACACAACAAAAAAAATAAGAAAGCTGTTTGGAAAACGGTCTTTGAACTCTTGTTGCAATAATTATGACGCATCCTGTAGGTTGCTTGCAACGTGTTTAGTGAGCGGAAAGCATTTTGGACGTCTAAGAATCACAACTTGTTTTCATATCTGGTTGATCGTGCCAGTAACGTTATGCCCATGTTAAAGACTAAGCCATGCATCTCTTAGTTCAGCCATTTTCCGGCTAGACTGTGAACGGCTCATTATAACAGTTAAAATCCTCGCGAAATTAGCATTTTGGATGCCTCTAGTAATTCTGGAGCTAATAAACGTGTCGTGCACTTGCCACGTGCCAATCTCTTAATTCTAGTACTTGACAAAGATGACTGACACGGGGGATTTAACTGTACTTTGTTTTACCTCAAGAAATCCAAACCTTGAAGCGTACATTTCGATTCGTCTAGACTACATCAAAATGTTTCAGTTGTAGTAAAAGAAATCATTTCTGGTCGTCAAACTAGACATTTCAATTTTGGTATCATTTTTGAACTGAACCAAATGATGAAAAAAAACCATTAAAATCCCTGCAAACTACTCAACTTTTGTAGTCAATTATCGAAAAAAATCTCGTTGTTTTCTATTTCCATGTTCAATTTACGATGACATTGGAAATCTTTCCATTTTTGATTGCTTCAAAAGAGAGATTCAATGATCGTTTCACTAGGGAATTAACTTTTTTTCTGAAATCATGAGTGCTGAGTGAAAATTGGTCTCTTGTTTGAGGGGAAACTCTTAATCACGAGAGGGGAATCCACATTTTCTACTTAAGAAATTTCACAACTACTTTGGCCACTTTAAATACGGGTTTA